ATCCCATTTGTTATTTGATGAGGTTTTATTCTAGTGCCATCTTTTCAGGACCACAGTTAATCCCAAGTTTAGGCGGGTTTTACCACCCACTTCGGATACTTGTGTCCTGACCATGCATTGCCATAGCTACATTGGTATACTCTTTCCTTTTTCTTTTGTTCTCATTGCATATAGAGGACATTGTGCAGTTTAAGTTTAGGGGGGTGATGTGTGTTATTTGCATTTAATTCAAGATTTTGAGCATGACTAGTGTATTTGAGGGATTTTCTATGATTGGTCCATGACTAACTATGATTTTGATCTTTTGAGGACTATATTGTTTAGAATTTAAAAATTGTTTAACCTGAGAATCCAATACTCCTTGTATGCTTTGTGGATGCCATTTAGGAGTAAATTTTTTGAAAGATTGATATTTTGCTTGCACTTGTGGTCCACATCATCCTGATTTTGTGATTGTTTTGAGATATACTCTAGGATTCTACACTAGCGCAGGCGCACACTAGCATTCATTTGTGGGGTACATACTTTGTTGATTATTGATTTGGTTATATCCCAATTGAACTAGTAGTGCATTGAAAGCTTTCATTCTTGATAAAGGTGGATAACAAACCCTTTTCACTAGGTAGCCAGGATTCTAATCTCATCAAGCACTGAATTTCTCGCGCCAAAAGGTGGAGAGCCCAAACTCTATGTTAATAACTTGACAAAAAAAAAAAGTTGTTGCAAAAACAAATAAAAAAGTGAGGACTTCTCCCAAAAGGTGAGAAGTGGGAAATGATTAGATGGAGGTTATTTTGATTTGTAGCCTAGTTGCTTTGAGCTTGTAAGTCCTTAGGGGTGTTTAAACACCTGATGCCCTAAAGCCGTTCGGTTTTGGAGTCATTGACCTAACGTTCGACCTCATGGATCGATAGAAAGCTTAATAAATCAACACATTACACTATGCTTCAATCTTTGATCCTTAGGACTAGGAAAAAAAATTTTGAGCGAGAAGAATAAGCGCACCTAAATCAATAAAGCTTTAATAGAAGGTCTATTCTTTGTCTTGATGATCAGTACTAGATTTGTGTGATAACTTGAGGTTGGATGTGATCATTTCTTTAGTTAGCTTATATAGCAACATATTTGATGTCAGTTCACTTAAAAAGGATTCTAGAGTTGTTTTGATTTATATTATCATTGTCTTGATGTGTGGAGGATCATACTTGCTTGCTTGATGTTGAAATTTTAGGAGATTGTTTGGAAATGGTTGAAAATTGCATACTTGAGGTAGTTTTCTCCCAATGCTTGTTTGGAATATTGGTACCTCTTTTATGAGAATGAGCTTAATGTTTGTGGGTATCATTTCTGGAAACCCTCACGAGACTTCACTCGTCCACTAGGGGTAACCTAGGGGTTTAAAAGGCTTGTTACATATGCTAAATGCAATTGTGTTCCCTACGAAAGTAGGGTTATCCATTTATTGCTTTCTAGTTCATAGTTATTTAGTTGTTCATTTCTTTCTTTACTTCGTAGTTCATTGCTAGGGACTAGCAACATTTAAGTTTGGGGGTGTGATAAGCGCTGAAAAATGCGTATTTAAACCCCTTAATCTTGAATGTTTTAGGATCTTATTTTATCTTATTTTTCCGTTTTAGTACTAATTTATGTTTTTGTCTATTTTTAGGTCAATAAGGTTCAAACAGGCTAATTTCGGTCGACTAAGGCCTTTTTGGAGTCAAATTAAGTCTTGGTGAGAAGTTGGAACAAAAGGAGGCTGATGCTGAAAACTGCCTAGTTGGATCAATCACATTGTGAATGATCGTACCCTAAACGATCACACCATACCTCTAATCGATCACACTATACCTTTGAATGATCACACTGGTTGTTGGATTGATCGAACTATTCGCAGAAGTTATAAAAAAGCAGATCTAAAGCTCATTTGGAACCAACTCGAACTATGCTTGAAAGGGGAGATCCTAGGGACGAGTTCTCACATTTTTGGGCTCTAAAAGCCTTGTATATAAGAGGGATTGAACCATTTTTGTAGAGTGATTCATATTTTTACATTGTAATTTCTATATTGTTGTAGTTTCTCTCTTTAGAAAGTTAGAGATTCGGGTTAGAAGAAAAGAGGGAAGTGGAGGCACATCTCAAGAACATATCTGTAGATCCACATACTCTCTATCTCTAGAGCTTCAAAGAAGAAGAAGAAGAAGAGGAAGAAGAAGATGGAGCCATGTTTGGGGCTTGCCCTTGAGGGCTTCATGACCACATCCACCTCCTCCATGATTGGCTAGATTTACACTTAGGGTTTGGATGAGCCCTAAGTCTTGTGTATTCTAAACCCTTGTATTTCTATTTTTGGAGAATTAAAAATATATTGTTGTGATCAGTGGTTAGCCTTGTGATTGTTGATTTAATTATTCCTTATGAGTCTCTATATTAATTACATGTTGTCTTATGTGTGATTATTTGGGAATTGATCTTTACACTAGATTCTCTATGTTGGTTGCATGTCTATGTGTGATTAATTAAGGATTTAGTGATAGCTAAGTATGGTTTTTATTGAATGGGTTTGTCAATTAATTTGATGGATTATACTTATATTTGATAGGTTGTTCTACAATTTAATTCATGTTTGTAGGTAGGTAGACAATCTATTCTTGACTTTATACTTCACACTTATTATTGCAAATTCCATGATTCTCTAGATTGATGTGTGCTCTCATTAGATACATTTGTTAATTAATTGATGGATTATGCTTTTGTCTTGGTGGGTTGTTCTACACTTAGTTTACTTGTTGGTTAGGTAAACAATTCACTCTTGCATTAGATAGTTTACACTTTTACATGCAAATTGTGTTTATGTTTGTGGTCACATCTAGATTACAATAATGTATTCCCCATTAATAGAAAGCAAGTGGTTAATTACATGAGCTTAGTTGTGATTCCAACACCCTAAGACCTCTCTTCAAATTTCTTAAATCCCTTTCTTTCATTAGTTTACTTTAATTGCATTTTAATTTCATTGCACCTTAGTGTAATCAACCAACCAACCCTTCCTTGCAATCTTTTGATATGCTAGAGTCGAAGCTAAAATTCCAACACATATAATACCTGCGGACGATCCCTACTCGTTATACTTCATTAGTTGTAGTAGTGGTTTTATAAATGTAAATTTGAGTAGAAAGGCTTCCTAAACCACAATCATATTTTGACTTTGCGAAGCGACCTCTCGCATTACAAAGTTCTTTTTCTAAACACATAGGAAAAGAGTTTGTCAAAACCAAAATGAATATTTACCTATACATGAAGAACACTGTGGAAGGCGGTTTAACCAATTCCTGCTCGCCACCTCAAATGCAATTGCGGATATAAATTAATTTGAAAAGCATAATGAATATTTACCTGTAAATTAGGAACACTGAGGGAGTCGGTTTAACCACTTCCTGCTCACCACCTGAAAAATCTGCCTTTTTCATTGTTTTAGGTACCGAAGATTTCCCCACTTTCTTCTTTGCTGCACTTTTTCCCTAGCCATTATATTTTCTCCCAAATGTATAGAACCCTTGTAAAATCAGAGGAATAATATAGCACTTTTGATGGAACAAGATGTAACAACAACAACAAAAACTACTATTAAACAAACCAAAGGGAAGACGATGACGGTAGATACCAGAGAGAAAGGAGGAGACGAACCAGAGAGAAGGTTGGAAATTAAGAGAAGAGAAGCTGAAGGAAGGAAGACAATGAGAACAGAAGTAAAAAGTAATATGTGGGTCCCACGTATAAGTGAATAAATCAATTTTGTGTTTCAATTATGTATACGATATTCGTAAATGGTAAAACAAAGTAACTTTCTTACTTCAGTTGCTGAGTTAGCGCTTAGTGGGCAATGACAAGGCAAGTGTGGTTGAGTTGGCTTCGTCATAGCCATAGGATCCTCCATGGATCGCCTCCAATGAGAGATGCCATGGAGAGGATTTTTGCCCACAAATGAAACGTGAGTATATTAAAGAGAGAGAAAGTGAGAGATACTAGAGAGAGAGAGCTGCTATCCCACCTCCCTTATTTGGGTGAGAGTATTATAGGAGTATATAATTTGACACACGGAATTAAATTAAAGTTTTGGGTAAAGCACAGTCATACCCTCTGAGTTTGGCAAAAGGTCACTCAGAGGAAACTTACTTATTTTTTGGACAAAGACACCCCTTGAAGGTTCAAAAATGGACAAAGACACCCCTTTACATGAGAAATTGACCAAATTACCCTTTAACCGTTTAGGAGACTTTTTTAACTTTACAATTTGATAAATTGGACCAATCTACCCTCATGAACAATTTATGCATAAAAAAAAAGGGAAAAGTACAAAAACAAAAAAAAAAAAAAAAAAAAAAAAAAAAAAAAAAAAAAAAAAAAAACTGAACTATGGTGGTGGGTGAAATCGAAGGCGGTGGTGAGTGGTGATGGGTGAAATCGAAGGGGTGGGTTTTTTCTTGGGTTGACGTCAATTAGGTGGCAGGCGGAGGTTGGGGAATTGGGTATGGTGGCGTCGATGAGGGTGGCGGTGGCTATAGTATAAAGCTGTTACTAAGAGCAGTGGTGAATGCGTGAAATTGAAAGCAGTGGTGAGAGTGGTGGTGGGTGAAATCGAGGGCAGTGGTGAGTGGTGGTGGGTGAAATTGAAGGCAGTGGTGAGTAGTGGTGGATAAACTGTTGTTGTAGTATGAAGCTCGCCAGTATTAATGGAGATAATTGTGTCTTCTCTTACTTATTAGCCACCGTTCAAAGCTCCCTTGCTCGCCAGCCATAGCCGACCTCTCCACTATTTGAGCAGCCACAGCCGAGCCCATCATCCAGCGCTGCACCAACCATTGCCCACCGCTGCGCCAGTCACACCGCCGCAAACCGCCATCAGTTCCATCCTCGCTACCTTGCTCGCCACCTATTCCACCAACCACACGACCCAGTTTTATCCAGCGAGCCCTAAGTCTGGCGAAGCCTAGTTCATACCGATGAACCCAAAGCACGAACAGTTCTCGTGCCTCATAAGCTTACCCATCATCTCCGGTGAATATAAGAGGGAAGAGATTGAAGAACCAACACAATCATGTTTCGATCCATGTTCAAATCATCATCGTGCGTTGATGGGTGCTTTGCAGGAGTTCGGTCTCCATTGTAGAGCTCATCGTTGCTTGGATCTTGTGGTTCAGTTCACTAAAGCCTCTCGAAATGTCCCCACCATCATTAACCTCATCGATGCCTCTCACCCCACCAAGAAATCCCCAATTTGCATCTACTTCCTCCACCTCGCCGAACTCACTGGCCGCGCCTCTGCCATGCTCATCGTCCACAACACTTGTAAATCTGGCTACCCCGCTTAGTTGCCCAAGCCCAGTCCGACCACATCATCAATGCCTTGGATGACTTCGAGCATCACGTCGAATGTGTCTCTATTCAGCCCCTCATAGTGGGATTTTGCCTCAGATTCACGATTCTCATCTTCGTACACCATGGGTAGTTTTAGATCGGTGGTGGTGGAGGGAAAATGGGTAGTGGTGGTGTAGGGGAAGATGGGTGGTGGTAGTGGAGGAGGCAGAGTGAACATCGTCTATATATATATGTGTGTGTGTGTGTGTGTGTTTGTGTGTGTGGAGAGAGGGGAAGATGGGTGGTGATGGTAGCGCAGTGAATTTCATGTGTGTGTGTGTGTGTGTGTGTGTGTGTATGTGTGTGTGTATAGAGAGAGAGAGAGGGGGGAAGAGGGTGGTGGTGGCGGCGCTGCGGCAGGGTAGTGAACGTCGAGAGAGTGAGGGAAGAACTAAGAAGGTGGTTTTTTTTTTTAACTTTTCTTTTTATGCATAAATTGTTCATAAGGGTAGATTGGTCCAATTTATTAAATGGTAAAGTTAAAAAAAAAAGTCTCCTGAACTGTCAAAGGGTAATTTGGTCAATTTCTCATGTAAAGGGGTGTCTTTGTCTAAAAAAGAGGTAAGTTTCCTCTGAGTGTCCTTTTGCTAAATCTCAGGGGGTGTGGCTGTACTTTACCCTAAAGTTTTTATATGCATTATGTGGATGTATATTTAAAGGGAAAATTCTAATTGGATTTTGTAAAAATTAAGTGCAAATCACTATTTTTATATATTCTCAATAATAATTTATTATGTTGGTTTATATAATTATGCATGGTATTTCATCTAATGTTGCAGTTAAACTAACCATCTATAAACTATGACATCAAGATTTAGTTACTTATCAAAAAAAAAAAAAAAAAAAAGATTTAGTCACTAAATCAAACATGTACCTCTAGTAGGAAAATATCAATTCATAGTAACACTATTTTTTTTTAATGGGTTTTATTTGGAATTTTTGCTTGGTTGCAAAATGTTTCCTTTTCTAAACTACAAATATCATTTATTTTCTTTTTTATGATTGTTGAAGCGATATTCTGCACGATACAAAACGCCACTGTTTTTATGCATCAAAGAGGTGAACGTTGGCCAACACCAATGTGGTGCCTGCAAGAGCTCTCCGACGAACAAGTTAATTAATGGAGCTCTTAAGTAAAAACAGGAAAAGTGTTCAATATTCCGTACCTCTTTGGTTTGGGCAGCCTGTCCTTTATAACCAATAACTTGAGCTGTTGTGATCATGTAGGATTCTTTGAAATCCCATCTTAAAACTGAATTAGTAGTTATCTTTGTAATTTTATTATCTGGAACCAGCTCACTATTTAAATTATGGTCGCCCCTTTGAAATACAAATGTGCAATGACGACTTATCTTTATTCTTACTTCAAATTCAAGCGGAACCCGTCTTATCTGCTTATTCGTGGCTATTGGGCTAATTGAACTATTCGGTTGGAATACTAATTTTGAATTCTCTTTATCAGTTGCCCCCCATTTCTAAGCTTGCTTGTCATGTATTGGAAAATGTCATACATGTTTTTTATTTTATATTTACATATACATATTTGCCAAACTCTGTTTGGGAAAGCTCTTTTCTCCAGCTCCTTTTGGTGAAGCTGTTTTTTCCTTTCTAAACTTGAAACTTTCTTGCTTTACAATTAGTTCTTGGTTCGAATGTTTTATTTTCCTAATAAAAGCTTCACATTTCTTCTATCTTCTGATTGTGTACGTGTTGCTTTATTTCAAGCATGCATGATTTCCTTTCTCATCACTTTTAATAATGGACTGGACATTTTTGTGCTTCATATAGCTAGCTTGCCCTTTTAACAAGAGAATAGATTTACGAGCTTCACTCAGTTTGCCCTTTAATAAAGGGATAGATTTTATGAGTTTCACCTCACCCTTTAATAAGGGGATAGATTTTACGAGCTTCACTCAGCTCGCCCTTTAATAAGGGGATAGATTTTACGAGTTTCACTCAGCTCATCCTTTAATAAGGGAAATAGATTTTACGAGTTTCACTCGGCTCGCCCTTTAATAAGGGGATAGAATTTACAAGTTTCACTCAGCTCATCCTTTAAGAAGGGAAATAGATTTTACGTGTTTCACTCAGCTCGCCCTTTAATAAGGGAATGAATTTGTCCGACCTTCATGAGCTCGCACTTTAATAAGGGAATGGATTTACTCAAGTTTCGTGAGCTCACCCTTTAATAAGGGAATAAATTTATGAGCTTCACTCAGCTCTCCTTTTAATATGGGAGTGGATTTGCTCAAGTTTCATAAGTTCGCCCTTTAATAAGGGAATATATTTATGAGCCTCACTCGGCTTGCCCTTTAATAAGGGAGTGGATTTGCTCAAGTTTCGTGAGCTCGTCCTTTGATAAGGAAAATAGATTCACGAGTTTCACTCAACTTGCCCTTTCATAAGAGAATGGATTTGCTCAAGTTCTGTAAGCTCACTCTTTAATAAGGGAATTGTTGTGTATAATTTGTTGTTGTCATCTTGTGTATACACGCAGTTGTCATTTTTCTTCGAGCCCTAAATATCGAATAGGACTTTGAAGAAGACAAGGGACTGAAGAAGACAAGGGTCGTTTGGTTCTGAAGGTTAGTTGTCCCAAGTTAGTTCGACCTGCTATCTAACCCGAACCTTCTGAACCAACCTGATTGGGATGCCCCAGTTGTTTTGGCCCGATTGAACCCATCTGGAGCATTGTTCGACCTGATTTTATTAACCTTTTCAGATCACGTCAATTACAGATCAGTGCAGTTCAGTTGTTTTTGTTTCTTTCATCTCTTCTCAATTAATCCGATCAGCTAGGTTCATACCAGTCAGCTTACGGCCAACCAGTATCTGGATAGACAGTTTCCGGCCAGTCGAGTTTCGACCAGCTAGTTCTGGAAAGACAATTTCCTGCATGTCCAATCTCAATCAGTTGCCAGTTTGGTTTCTACTGCAGTCAACTTCCATTCAATTTATTCTGTTTGATAAATTGATACTCTTCTCTTCGTCTTGTATGGTTGTTACTGTGGATGTTCTGCATTAAAAGGTGGAATACCCACAAGGAGCACATATAGTACAACACCCGTAGACCACCAATCTGTTATTGCACAATGACCCATGCCAAGAAATATCTCAGGAGCCAAATAGTCAAGAGTGCCAACAACTGAATGCTTGTGGGCAACTCTTTTCAGTCATGATTGTTTTTCGTTCACCATCCCCAAAAGAAGCATAACTGCTAAATGATGGACTCTCATGCTTAGTGGGGGTAACCAATTCACCTTTTCTGCCAATTAACTTACACAATCTCTCATAAAAAGCCCATTGACCTGGAGATATGTTGAGGAAATTCCACCCTAACAAGGTGTGTTAAGTGAATTTTAATATAAACTAATAACAGACACCTTAGCCCATTATATAGGTAAAATATGATGTGAGATAGAAAATAAAAATACATGCTTTGCACTAAATAAGAAAAGACAAGCAATTTTTTTTTTTACTTTTCTTCGTGTTTTTCGAGCAGTGTGTTGCTCGGGTACAAATCTTTTTTCTTTTTGTTTTAGAAGACACAGTAAATTTTGCAGTGAACATACATTACAAATCTTTAACAGAATAAAATAAGAACACTTTATACTACGAGTGGATTACCATATCAAATACAATTACTTTCATTTTTGTTTTATCATTTTCGTATCCAGACTTTATGCGTGGATCCATTCACACACGTATCTCTCTCTTTTCTTTTCTTTATTAAATTATAAGCATTTAATAATTAATCAAGTATTAATCTATGTTTAGATAATTTAGACATAGACATGCACAAAATGGGCAAATAAATACTCCGTAATTATGTCGTGTATTTAGTCAAACATGACATAAAATTGTATAGATACCAGAAAGATTAATTATTTAGTATCAAACTTGTGTTGAGAATGTGATAAGACACATATATATTCAAATAATCTAAAAGTTTTATGCGTAAATAATAAATAAAGATATTAGGTACACTAAATATAATACAGTAATCAGGTATACTTATCTCTTCTAAGACGTCTTCTGCCCCCAACGTTATTAACGTTATTCCAATTATGCATTGACGTGATCGCCTGTTCTGGTTGCATCAGTCCACGTCTTTGATATGGGTTGTCCTGATTGCATCGGTCATATCAGATATGAGATTGTTGATTCGGTCAAATATCTAACAGAAAATTAACCCTTTGGTCCCAACGTCTTGGTTGAGTGGTTGAAATTTGGTGTTGATGTGTATTCCGAGAGTCGCAGGAATGACAATACATTCATAATCATTTGGGATGTCAGGTGTTATCCTATTTCCCAGTTTATTTCTCTGGCGTCCAAACCGGAATTTGAATTAATAGTTATCCTTGTAATCTTATCATCTGGAACCAGCTCACTATTTAAATTATGGTCGCCCCTTTGAAATATAAATGTGCAATAACAGCTTATCTTTATTCTTACTTCAAATTCAAGCGGAAGCCATCTTATCTGCTTATCGTGGCGATTGGGCCAATTGAACTAGTCGGTCGGAATACTAATTTTGAATTCTCTTTATCAATAATTAACATAAAAATTAACTTTATCAAAAAGCATTGTTAAAACTTAAAGATATTTTTCTTTCGGATTGGAACAAATAAAATAAATATGGGCGATTTGATATCAATAATAAAAATAATTTCTGATATATAAAATAAACTTTTATTTCTCTCACATGCTTTTTGTAGTCACAAATCACATCATTTTCTGGATGGATTAGTGAATAAAATAAATAAATAAAGACTCAACAAAAAACGCCAACAATTTTTGAAACTTTCTTGTCAATTTTCAATTTTAATTTTAATCCACTAATACGTATATTGGATTAAGCTTCCGCTACGCGTTTCTATTATTTGTGAATTAATTTTATCATTCCGCTACGCGTTTCTATTATTTGTGAATTAATTTTATCATTTTCGTGCTC